TGTGTGTGTGTGTGTGTGTGTGTGTGTGTGTGTGTGTGTGTGTGTCTCACATGATTCGCTGTTGATATCGGCGCGGTGATGCGCGCACTCGCGATGAAACGAGCATGAGCACGCGCGCGCATGTGTGTACGTGAGTAATGCTACGCACATGTGTGCGTGTATGCGCGCGCGCGAGTTGAATTTTCTGCGCCGCGCAACACACGACGTCGGCGTCGGAGCAACGTTGCATTGGCGCGCCACGGTGATCATGACAGCATGACGTCAACCGGCCGTGTGTTATTTTCGAAAGGGGACTCGACGGCGGCGACGCTGCACGGAGAAATTGCGAGGCGGCGCAAACAGCCAGAGCACGTCGCTGTCGGGCGGAGGAACAACAAAGCAAACTTCGGGCGATGTGAGCGAGTGAGCGAGCGAGAATGTAATGCGGGATATGTCGAAAGGACTCACTCGGTTGCGTCTTACGTGGATGGAAAGTATTTCTTTAAAACACGCAAATTGCCACGACGAGAGTGAGTTATGAGAATATCACTTTACGTATAAAATAGTAACGAGCTTTTTATTTTTTTCAAGTAGGTATTTTAATACTCCCTCACTTGCCGAAGATTATGATCGTGATAAGGCGTTTCTTTTCGGGATATATCGCCTCACTGTCTTCACTCTTTCTTATCTCTTATCTTTTTGTTTCTGACAATCATATCTTAAATTATCATTATTATCTCTGTGACTTTATTACTTTTATACTTTGCGATTAGTTTTTAAGATATATTAATTATATACAAATTTAGTTTCTTTATTATGAAAAGTTGAAAAATTATACCGTAAAATGTAATAACTTAGAAATGTGAATTAAGTAAGTACTAGTTGACAAATATAAAATACCTATATTTTCCATGTTGCTGTCTGATTTAGATTGACAATGAATGATGCTGATTAAAATTATTTTGATAAAAAATTTCGCAATCGTCTAGAAAGAGTGTTACATGTAATCTCCTACGTATCTATTTTCTCTCTTTCTCTCCAATTTTTTCGTCCTGATACAGAAACCTATTCGTATCCTGACATTTCCCTTTCGTCACAGCACGTGTGTGCGCGCGCGCGCGCGCGACTGGATCGAACGACTCGATTTGACAAATGTCCTCGGGGACACGACCGGCGGTTCTCGAGTTTTACGTGAACCGGGGCCAAGGTCGAAACACTATCGTTCTACCAGATCGTCACGTTAGCGGCGCAAAATTTAACCCGCGACATATCTAAATCTCTATGTATGTATATACGTACGATGAAATCATTTATCGTATGAAACAGTCGGGGATAAAAAATAAAAATCTTTTTGCGTATGTGTCGCAAGATAGGTGACGTCGAAAAGGTGGAGTTCTTGGCGCACGAAGGCACCCGAGAAATTCGTCGCTATTCTGGAGGCTGATCCAAACGACGACAAGTTTAGCGGAGTAAAGTCCGCGGCAGATTAGCCACGCGCTATCGCAACGAGCGCGCGTGGATAAGATTGTGCCACGCCGCGCCGCGGTCGACCGGCTTCAGGCTTCAAGGACTCCGCTTGTTCAAGGCGGTTAAGACGTCAAGACGAAATTTCTCGACGAGACTCCCGTTGCTGAACACGCGACCTGTTTCGCACAGCAGCGGTCATTAAGCCGCGATAAAATAAGTATTTAATAATAAACAATAATTTAATTACCATAAAATATTTTGTATAAGAAAAGCAGTCTATATGTATATACATAAATCGCCCCGTTATGTTTCGTTTAGAAATGCACACTTGATTTGTATTAGGAAATATTATTTATCACATGATGGTTCTATCGGATCATCGTAGATTGCTTTTTCAAAAACTACTTTTTCATTAAGCATCTACACATTAATATTGACAAGACATCTATGAATTTATTTCGCAAGTTAATTTTACGTGACATTTGTTGCTTAACGTAAATAATACGATTCGGTTCTATATTTACAAATCTATATATTTACACATCCGATCAAAAATTGACGATTATTTCGCATGAGGAAATTATTTTTCTCGTCAAATATATAAGTTTTTCAGAAATGCCCACAGAAAGTTGGCCGGTATTACAGATACCGTTCTTAGCCTTTTTCGGCGACATGCGACTCCCAGTCGAAAACAGCGCGGAGCGACGTCATCAGGCGCGAAACGCGCGCGAGAGTCTGCGATGTTTCACTCCCCCGAGGGACGACGGGCACGTGTACCGAATCGGTGGTCGCAGAAGGCCAGAAGGGACGCCGAACGGGGCGAGGTATACGGGGGTTGTTCCGATGCGTCTCGACGGTAACTATCCAATACGTGACGCCGACCCACTCATTCACTCCTCCATCAACCCCCGAGGCACCCCGTGCGATACCTACGAATGCGCGTAGGCGATCTCTCCCGTACGTAGGACGTAGGTACGCGCGCACTATGTAACGTATATAACGCGCGTATATATGCCTTTCGACTGGTAAATACTCTACCCTATATACGAGGCGGCGAGGAGGGAAGGAGGAAGGAGGGGGGGAGGGAGAGAGAGAGAGAGAGAGCGCCTACGCGCCAGTCGCGCCTACATTAGGGGATGAATAAAGGAAGGTCGCCGAAAACGGAGGGTCGGCACCCCTGGTCCCCAGTGCCTCTCATTCGTACGCCTATCTATACGATTGTTCGCTCATCCTATAGAGAAGCACGCACGCATTACGTCTTCGGGGGACTTCTCACGATATGCTCGTCTCACGCAATGTTATTAAGATTGCATACGTTGTTGACATCGAAAACTCAAGTTTCTCTACGTGTTCAAAGATAATAGATATTAATTATATTTGTTTATTTACGTATTCCTTATTATTGTTAATGTCTGTATTGTATTCAATTATGTGTACGCGCGTGTATTCAGATCAGTTTGTTAACAAATAAAATAAAACTAATAAGATCGCGTCTAGAATTAGCCAAGAACCATGTGGCTCCTTGCGTAAATCGGACTGAGCGTCGCTGATACTATCTATAGGTATAGGGGCGCGCGACATCTGCGGTGTCCTGAACGAAGGGTTCTACCCCGAAAACCGGGGAATTGGGTGGGGATCAGAAGCAGGAGAAAGGCCGCGAAAAAGAAAAAAAGTGAATGAGAGAGAGTGAAAAACTCGAGGACGGAAAATTGAGAGATGAGGCATGCCGAGAGGACGAGCGGAGACGAGGAGTAGAAAGGAAGGCGACAAAAGGAAAGAGACGAAAATAGAGAGGAAAAGGACGTCAGGCTCCTCTCGAAATAAAGCAATGGAAAACGTCATCCAGTCGTTAATTGGTCCATGCCAATTCTAGGAGTCAAAGGTTTCCGTGCATTTCCTGTATTTCGCGATGTCTCAATTTGTTTCGACAACGATAAGGATATTTCGAGCGTAGATCTTATACGACGAACAAATTTAACCCTCCGAGAACACACTGGGTCAATTTGACCGTTTTTTTATTTTTTAATAAAAAAATAAAATTTTGTTCGTAAATTACGTTTTTTTTCAAAAAAACACTCAAAAATTAAAAAAAATTTTTTTCAAAGAAAAAAAAATTTTTTTTTTTTAATTTTTTTAATTATGTAAATAATTCCAACGGCACTTTTTATTTATATCAATTGATTTAACAATGTTCCAAGTACATGTGGAAATTTTTTCAAGCTGATCGCACTCGTCAATTTAAAATGGTGGACGATCAAAGTGTGTGTAGGGTCAGATTGACCCAGTGTTCTCCGTGAATGAAAAAATAAGTGTGTTCTCGGAGGGTTAAATTCGAAATAGGTAAAATGACATAGAAAACATTTGGTTCGTAAACAATAATACCACTAAAGATTTAGCGTTGCGTATTAATAGCAATTATTTTTATAAAAATATAATACATTTTTCTTGAGATACCAGATATATGTATAAAATATATCATACAATGTCATTGTAACTATATATTTTATTTTTTCGCGAACACGAGTTCATCACGAAAGATAGAAATTCAGAGAATGTATAGTGTAATATGAATTTATATTCAAGATTATATTTCAAAGTAGCATATATTCCGACATAATAAAAATTCCTGAAATTTTTGGCGAATAAAAAAATTAACTCAGCTCATCGAGAGCAATTCGTGTTAGGGTAAACTTCCCCTTTATTCTATACAGAATTCAAACAGTTTGATGGATGCATCCGTGCGGGCATCACAGTGCACGCTCATGCACACGTGTGTACGCACGTACACGGGTGGCTGTATTTTCGTCGTGTGGGAAAGCGGAGACGCACGCGTCGGCTGAAAAAGGGGGCCATATGTCGGGCAATGGCGGGCACCCCTTGTGCGTGGGAGTGTCAGTGGGGATACATATATACACGCCACTCTCCCTTTCCGATACATTTTTTGCCTCGCGCCGGATTTTTTTAGTGTGGCGTCTTCCTGCTTACGCGCGTATGACGCGGCGTCCTCCCCCCCCCAACCCCTCTCCTCTCGCTGGTTTGCCTCGTTCGCCCTTCGGCGTCCGTCACCCGGCGTCATGTGGAGCGCGAAGGTTTTTATTTCAAATATTTTCGGTTTCGATGAAGAGACTCATCGATGGATCCATCTATGAATGAAACGGCGTGATCGGTCACGCTGAAGCTGTGAAGTAATGTACCTCGCGAGGTGTCATATTTAACATATGTTTATGTCAAATAATATGCCAAGTATTTTGTAGATATAGGGTGCTCTTTCTCAGTTACAGATTCTTTAATAAATTTTAATAAATTTCAAATTATTCTTTCTTTAAGAATTAACACGTTATAGCATAGATAGAAGCTGTTTAACTCTTAAACGCTATACTGTACTAAATCTAAAAAAAAACTTTCATATGTAAATAAAGTATCAAATATTATCAAATTGTAATGATAAATGTTGAATAACTAATAATAACTGAATAATAACTAACCTGAGAAAGTTACACCTGTTTTGGTCAAGGATAGAATGACTAACAAATAAAATCGAGGAATCCCCCGAGTCTCGTTTTGTACACGACGGGGTTAAAATAGTACACCTAAAGACTAAGCTTAAGATAAAGCAAAACAAACAAGGGAGAAAAGAGGAAGAAAGGGAATGAAGCGAGAAAGGTAACGTGTGCGTGTGTGTGTGCGCGCGCGCGCCGAACCTGTTCGTGTCTGACGAGTGGGTGCGCGGGATGAAGTTCGTGATGTTCGTAAGACGAGAGAGAGAGAGAGAGAGAGAGAGAGAGAGAGAGAGAGAGAGAGAGA